TCGGTGCTTGCCGCTTCCGCACTTGCCGCTTCTTCTCTGCATGCATGAGGGCTTTCTCCCGCACCTCACCAACTGCCTTCGTGATTAGATCGCGCCATGCACCACGATCAGTCGCCTTCGATTCCCATGATCTGCAATCAAGATTAGAACGTGTGAGGCTCACTTTAATCATGTCCTGGTAACGTAACTTTGGTTTCCCAGCATGCCGCTTCCCTATACTCAGCTGACCGTATAAGAGTTGTTTCGGTATTCGCGTCGAATCCATACGGCTCACATGACCGAGCCATCTCAGGTGTCGCAGTAAAAGTATGCCGTCCACTGCATACATCCCACTTCGGCGCAACACTTCCGTGTCTGCAACTCTGTCGCCCCAGCCGATCCGCAAAATTCGTCGCAGACACTGCTGATGGAACCGCTCGAGATATCGCACATCCCGACGGTACATCGTCCACGTTTCACTGCCGTATAGAAGAACGGACAGTACCATGGATTTGTACACCATCAGCTTCGTGCCAATGCTAAGCTGATGGTTGTTCCACACTCGGTACTCTAGCTTCCCGAATGCCGCTGCCGCCTTCGACACGCGATTACGCAACTCAACGTGTAGCTGCTGATCAGTCGACATCACACTCCCAAGGTAGCAAAAGCGGGAGGTGGTTTCCAATACTTCAGCACCAATGCTGATTTGCGGCAATATTGAAGATTGCACCTCCGGTGAAGGCTGAAAGAGACAGACAGTTTTGCTTGTGTTGATGGTGAGCCCGAATTTGGCCGCTGTCGAAGCCAGAGCACTAGTCATGTGCTGCAACTCATCCGCGCTGTGTGAAAATAACGCACAGTCGTCAGCAAACAGCAACATACGGATAGTTTTCTCACAGACTAGAGTTCTCGCACCGAAACGACGGATGTTCAGCAACCCACCATCAATACGGTGCTCCACACGAACACCGTAAGCACAAGCCACATCAAAAGCACAAGACAACATTGCATGAAGATATATATTAAACAGGGCAGGAGCTAACACACAGCCTTGCTTCACACCAGAGACAACTGTAAAGTCATCAGAGGTCTCTCCACTCAGCTGCACCCTCGCTCGCATACCACTGTGCAGACATTCAATTAAACTTACAAACTTACGCGGGCAACCAAACTTACCCAACACCAGCCACAGTGCCTCGCGGTTCACCGAATCAAATGCCTTGGTGAAATCAACAAAAAGCGAGTACAATGGCTGGTGTCGTTCTCTACACTTCTCTTGCAACTGACGAGCCGCAAACACCATATCTATAGTGCTGCGACCCGAACGGAATCCACATTGCTCTTCCGCCACGTTTGGTTCCACAATCTGACTCACGAGGCGATCGAGCAGGATTCGGGCAATCACCTTGCCCACACAACTCAGCAAGTTGATGCCACGATAATTCGTGCAACATTGCTTGCTACCTTTGCCCTTGTACAGTGGTAGCACAAGGGCATCCTTCAGCTCAGAAGGCACTTCCTCCTCAATCCACACGCGTTGCACCAAGTGGTGCAGCGCAGTCAACAACGCGGGTCCACCGTGTTTCAATACTTCAGGTGGGATCCCGTCACCTCCGGCACATTTCCCGTTTCGCAGCTGAGCAAGTGCTCTCTGCGTCTCATCCAGTCTCGGCGTATCCGCCAGATCCGCCTTCACATCGTGCTGCTTCAGGCCGTTCAATGTAGGCCAGTCGATTTCTGAACGGTTGTTCAAGAGACAGTCAAAGTGTTTCCGCCAGACCTGCATTATATCTGCAGTCTGGGTGCAGGTAGCGCCTGAACTACCATCGATCAGTGTCCTCAGCGGCTCCAATCTCGGTCCATACACCGCCTTCAAGGAGTCAAAGAATTCCTTGTGTTGACGGCGTTCGGCGTAGTATTCCATCTGCTTCGCCTTCTCCGTCCACCATGCATTTTTTATGCGACGGAGCTCCCGGGTCAGTCGCCGTCGAAGTTTGCGAAACTGACTACTCTTCCCCAAGTCACTGGGGTCTGCAACATGTGCAGCAAATGCTGCATTCTTCTCTGACACCAATGCGTCAATCGTCACATTGTTGTCATCAAATCAATCAGGCCGCTTACAGTTTGCGCGCCCGATGGTCTCCTCGGCAGCAGCTGTCACCTGTTCGCGAATGTGGTGCCACAGGTCGCCCACTGTGGCTATACAGTCCACATCACCACACAGGCGTGCAGCCATCGCCTTCTCCAGCTCAGTATGTTTCGCCACAGTGCCGAGGGAGAGAATGTTAAATTTACGCCGATTCACGGCGGGAGTGCAATACATCGATTTACGAAAATATATGTACAGTTTAGTCCGAACCAATTTGTGATCAGTGCCACACTCAGCTCCACGCAGTACACGTGTCATGCGCACTTCACGCATATCACGCTGACGTACGATGACATAGTCGAGCAGATGAGCGTGACCACTCCGTGGGTGCATCCAAGTTGCTATATCACTCGCACTCAGTGCAAACCGAGTGTTCGTGATCGTCAGGCCGTGAGTGGCACACAGTGAGAGCAGCCTGTCACCGTTCGCATTCGCTGAACCAATGCCATGCGCACCGATAACATCTGTCCACGCTGATGCATCACGCCCAACGCGCGCGTTGAAATCACCCAGCAGAAATAGTCGGTCGCTCCTCGGCACAGACCGTATCACGGAGGATAGCTCAGTGTAGAACTGATCACGCGTGTCATCAGGATAACACATGGTCGGACCGTACGTGCTTATAAAAGTAGCAAACTTACCTCTTCCGAGTCGCAGGCAAACAGTCATCAGCCGCGCGCTGATGCCCGTTGGTTCACCCACCAGCTGGCCATTCAGGCGGTCGGATATTGCAAATCCGACCCCATGTTCACGTGGTGCTGAGGCGGCGTTCCCCACCCAGTAGAATGTGTAGCCAGCACCTGCTTCATGTAACTTACCTTGCTCAGCGAGCCGAGTTTCACTGAGCGCCGCAATATCGATGTGGTAGCGCGTCAGTTCCATCGCGACCAGTGCAGTGCGTCTCTACGGGCGCTCGCTCGAGTTCCGGTCCAGGAGTGTGCGCACGTTCCAGCACCCGATGCTGAGTGCTTTGCGCGCAGGCATACGATTGCATTGGTGGGCAATCGCACGCGAGGAGGTCGTTGTCCTTCGGAGGTTTGCTTGAGGGACTCCACCCGGAGCCTTTGGCTCAATAGTCTTACCCACAAGGCAGTGGGTGGTTTGGAGGTTTGCTTGGGGGACTCCACCCGGAGCCTTTGGCTCAATAGCCTGACCCACAAGGCAGTGGGTGGTTTGGAGGTTTGCTTGAGGGACTCCACCCGGAGCCTTTGGCTCAATAGCCTGACCCACAAGGCAGTGGGTGGTTTGGAGGTTTGCTTGAGGGACTCCACCCGGAGCCTTTGGCTCAATAGCCTGACCCACAAGGCAGTGGAGAGCAGATCCAGCTCGGGAATGTGATTGCAGAGACAGATGGGGATCTGCTTGACGGCCGTCACACGCAGCCTTTGAGGTTCTGGAACAGTTATCATATGTTTTGCGACCGTAATTGGATACGCACCTGCGACCACGGCCAGACGCAGGTGGGTTTTTGGCGGGTTTGCACCAATTTGACCAGGGGCTGCCTGGCTTGAGGCGGGCAGTAGCAAACCATTGAACACCCGGAGGTGTCCTCCCACCGTCAGAGACAATGCGTGGCACTCGTGCTCTACGCCAATCGAGCATTGAGAATATCACCCGTAACCTGTTGTCTCCCATGGCTAGGTTTTACGGGAAGTGGGCCATCGACCACTTCCTAACCTCCGGAGAGGATGGACTAGGATACTGCCAGGGCGCCCAATCCTGACAGGAGAACGACTCGGGTCCTCAGCCAAAGCCTTCGATTAAATGAACACCCGAAAGGCAGCGGGTCTAGCATATGGTCAGTTAGCTGACTCATGCAGATTGGTGTCCTGGATCTTAGCAGGGAGAAGGGCGAAACCTAACTCCCACTCAGCGGTCGCCACGTGGAGGCGCCCAGGACATGAGACTATGGCGCAACAGTAGCAGCAGTGGGTAGACCATCTGTCAGGATCTAGCCACCACCAGCCTCAGCGCACCATAGGCTCTCCCGCCAGGAAACCCATATACATACCCCGATACGAACGTTCCCTGTTACAGCGAACATGTATTTTTGTCAATGTTTGCTCACGCTTGGTTATATTAATATGATCATGCTTGTAATGGCGTGCCTTGCTTTGTCGCGAACAAAGCTCTTGTTTATTTATTTATTTGATTTGTTACCTTTCCATCTTCCTTGCGAAGCTTTTTCGCATCTTGAGACAGCCAAGGAGTCGCCACACATTTAGGAAAGTAGTGGACAGCCGTTTCGTCCTATTGGGACTCGTCAGTAGCGCGCATCCATTGGATCCTACCGGATCCGAACCCATGACCTTACTCTTACGAGTCAGCGTCTTATGCCACTGAGGCATGGGCGACGGAGGCGAATCGTCCTAAAACACAATAAATCCTCCCAACGCTATGTACTCTTTAGTAATCGCCTTAGCAGCCCACATGCCACCTCGATTCATAGCTGCTTGCAAGGGAAGTCGTAGCGCTTGAGGCCAGCCCTGGCCTTTGCGCGTTCATTACGTACATGGCGGTGGAGAATGAGCTGCGCTGTCTCGCAGTCAGAAATCATTCATGGCGGTCCACCGTCGTCACCCCTGGCTCAGTGGCATAAGTCGCTGACCCGTGTGAGAATAAGTTTCTTAGTCCAGATCCGGTGAGCTCACGCTACTGATAAGTCCCAGTTTGACGAAACTGCCGTCTTGCGCTTCCTTGGCTGTGTGGTGGCTGTCTGGTTGTGTCTAGCTGCGACAAATCTTCCCAGAAACACAATAAATCCTCCTACTACCCTGTAGTTTCCCTCATTCTCTTGGTGACTGTTTGATCTACCTTCTGTTTTCTGATTGTGGTTAACTAACTCGACCACCTAACTTTCATCCTGGTGTAGGAGGAGGGCCAATTGCAATTGCTGGACGCTGTGCGCGATGACGTCCGTTCAGCAATTGAACGCATTTCTCGGTTCAAAGAGAATGAAGGCAAAACACCAGCGAAAAATCCATTTGGTTCGGTTTTTAACTTGCGTTGGCTCTCCACTCTGGCGGACCGTCTTCAGGTTAAAGTTCCCGCGGACCTTCCGTTGATCTATTCATCGTTTTCGAAAGTCGCCCACTCAACTCCTTGTGCTAAACTACCGGATATTTGTGAGCAGCACAACAAGCGGAAGCCTCCGGTCACCAAACCTAAGGGTGGTAAGAAGGTCAGAAGCACATCACCGAATAAGGCTATCGACGAAATCATGGATGATTCCTCAAGTGAGGCGTCGAATTACCATGCGGCCCCTTCACCACCTACTTCATACCAAGGAGCGGAATCTCTGGAGCAGATCCTTTCAGAATTACCGACTATTGACGATGATCTTCGTGAGTTCCTTTTTTCATGTAAGGCTTTCCATTAAGTAACTATTATCCCTCACCATCCCGCATTTTCACGTTTGATCATTGCAGATTTTACTCACAAAATGTGGACATCTGTCGATGTTTTGACTGGCACCTATTTTTCTGTTACTTATGAGTAGGAGAATTTTGGTGGTAATTTTAATTTATTCATTCCAGCGGCTCACAAGCTACATAGCACAACCACAATTCGGAAAGGCACCAGACGTGTTTCGCTCTATTGGAGTCCATAAGTGTTGCGCATCCCTTCGATCCCCTATTGGGGATCGAACCCATGACCGTTGAAAGCTAACGCCAACTAGCTAACAGCTTAAGCCACCGTGCCATGGAAGACGTTGGCTCTGCTACAGAATTTGCAAGCTAACTTGGATAAAACACGACCCATCTTCCGTTGTCACGCAGGTTACTACCTTTGCAGGTGACTGGCTAGCCTCCGAGGTCATGACCTCCTCTCACAAGACGCTCTGTCATAGCATTTGAAACTGGGAGGGGCAACCTTTTGTATTCCTTGCGAGTTGGAGGATTTTAGTTGTAATTTTAAAGTCCTCATCCCAGCAGCTCGCTATTTGCAAACTGTCTATTCATCGGGTATTTTTATCCGTAGCGACGGATTATCTTATCCTACGTACCTGGTCTACGTCAGTCACAGCAGCCTGCATTTACTGTCAAGTCACACACACACACACACACACACACACACACGTCGTCTGTTTGAGCGATCCCGGTGCACTTTGTATATCTGTCAGTTATACTACCGATGCTTCTGGCACACTCAGTTTTAGGAAATCTGGTTTGTTTTCCAGTACGCTTTTATGTTATTTTATACTTATTTTTAGTTATAGTTTTTCCTTTTTTAATATGTGTTATACGATTGGATTTGGACTAACTTTTTGGGGGAGATTTGTCCTAGCGATTGATTTGCGACTTCAGGTCCAATATCACTCCCAGTGCACACTGGATGCGTGCTGGTTGCAACAATCGTTTTCAGGTTATGTAGTGATATTCTTGCATTTACTGTACCCGACTGTATCCTCTCCACCTGATTTTATTCCTATCTGTGCCTTTCCCCTACTTTGATTCGTGCCAGTCACCTGATCATCATCGTCAAACAGCAGTATATCAGCCATTTGAACGGATGCTTCGCTGCCATGCAACCACAGCGACCTACGGAACGAAGAATAATAGTAGTAAGATACGGTGGGTTTACAGGAGAACCTTAATTCCCTGCACCTTAATGCGCCTACATCTTGTCAACAACAAGCCGTCACAAACAACTGGCTACCCTGAAAAGATACGGCGGCATCAGCGTGACAGCTTTCTTGCGGCCTTCACTACGCGGCGTCATAATAAGCCCACAGATAACTCAGCATCAAACACACTTTAAGCAGCCAGTCTGACGAGGCGATGGCAGAAGCTACCCCACTGGTGCCGACTGAAAGACATGTCCTGTAACATCTCGAGCCCAGCACATGGCGCGTCACGTGGATTCCAGCTTGGAAGGCGAGACGGACCGACGGTACCCAGTTTGATCGTCAGTGACTCCGTTTTCCGCTCCCAAGTCCACCTCGAATCTTGCACCACCTCACATCTGGCAAATAAAACACTGCCCTCCTCGATAAGCAGTGACCACATACATAGTACGTGTCCAAGCCAACGCAACTTATTCTATGCTCTTCATGATTCAAAGGGACTAGCTTGGTTATAACTGCCTAGTACTCTCTTGCGCAAATCCTCATTGCGGACACGCTTGTGTCACCCGACACCAGCAATAGTCCTCAAACAGCGATGATCAAAGACTTAAAGGCGCCTCAGATCTTTAGACCGAAGGGGCCAAGTCTCACTCCTGTAGAGTAGGACGGCCCTCACTGTGGCCATGTAAACACGGCCTTTCAGACTGAGGGAAACTCCTTTCTGTCGCCAAAGATGTCGCAGATTCATGGAGGCAGTTCTGATTTTTGTACTACATGAGCTGACTTCAGTGCTTCTGCGCTCATCTTTGCTGATGCAGCTGCCGAGGCAAGTGAAGTAATCAACTGCATGGAGTTCCTCGCTATGAAGTGTCGATAGGTCATCAAGTGGCTTATGGTCCTACAGCAACGCTTTGCACTTTGAGGCGCAAGCCAAATGTTGGGACCACACTGGAGAGGCTATTCAGGACTGATTGAGCCTCCCCAACGTCGTGAAACATCAAGACAATATCGTCCGTATAATTAAGATCAACTAGCTTTTCACCAGTCAGCAATTCAACGCCTGCAACATGAGATTTCGCCAGCGAACACTCCATGATGGAGTTCACGATAAAGTTGAACAAAAATGGGGACCTAAAGCATTGCTTTCCCTTTATCCGCTTCATTCTTGCAAAAAGAAGACAAATATTGCGAGATGATGACATTTCACTTGTCCTTGTCAGTCGCAAACACAATCCGTACAAACTGTAAACAACAGTGTACGTGAGACTAACGTCCATGAACAGCATGCAACAAAAGAATCAACGCCACGACAATCTAATTGATTGCCTCAATTGTTTCAGTACGCACAGTGTTGGCCGATTCTTCATGATCAACAATGCATTAGGCAATCTTGGCGAACACGATTTGTCGCCGGAAAGGTATTCGATAAATCACTGTAGGACCTGAGGCTGCCTGTCGCGAAATGTTCACATATTTCATGGGAACAACGTTCAGCGCAAATAGTTTGAAAAGAATGCATCGATCGACTGAATCGAACGCACTCTTGAAGTCGAGGAGCACAGCTGTTGTCGTTCAGCGGTATGCGTTGCACTGCTCTAGCACCTACAGCAAAATGAACATGTGGTTTATAGAACCCCATCCTGAGCAGAAGCCTGTTTGCTCTTCCCTACTCCGGAATTCACCTTCCGCATTGAGGCGACGAACCAGAATCGAGGCCAGTAATTTTGTCACAATTTGCATCAGGCTATTACTCCTGTGGTTATCATAGTCAGTGCGACTGCCCTTCTTGTATGTTGCCACCATAATTGATTCACTCTAGTTAGCCGGGATAGTCTCTTCTTTCCATACATGTTTGGACAGGAATGCTAGTGCTCTACAGAGGACCTCATCATCCTTAAATAGTGCATGTGCTAGGGAATCTGGGCAAGCAACATGAAAACGATTGATGGCTGTGATCGCGTTTCGGACCTCAGCATCCGATGGAGACTAAGCTAACTGTGCACAGCGCATCTTGCATCAACTGGGTAGGAAGAGATCTGGAAGCAAGATGCTAGCTGAGCTGATCTTGAAAGTTTTCCGCCCAGTGTTTCATACAGCTTTCCTTATTGTGAATCATGGCACCTGCAATGTCTCTGCTTGTCTCACTGACGCCTGGTTTCCTAGGACCATTGGTGCGGATTAGCTGGAAGAGCTTTCGATAATTGCCTACTGCTCTTGCTTCCTCCATTTTTTGAGCCCAACTGATCCACCAAGGTTCGTTGTCAGCACGCAGGCACCGCTTTAATTCACCCCCAATAGTCCGCCTAGTTACATTGTGCTCAGAGCCAACTGGGAGTTTTCTTCTGGATTCCAACTGGTTCATTGACCTCTTAGATATCCAGTGACTCCTACGGTGACGATTGATAGTACCACACACAGAGGCTCCCGCATCGTGCATGGCGGCCAAGATCCTATTCCACTGAAATTCAGTGTCCTTGAAACAAGAGACCGAAAGTTCCGTACCCAGTGCATCCTGGTATGCTTGCCTGACCGACGTTGTGATAACTTCCCAGTTGCCAATCGACTGTGACGCTTGTACGCCTTCCGGTACAGTTCATGCAAAAGCGACAGTGTACCAAGACATGATCAGAATCGACGAAGTACTTTAGTAGAGCAGCAATCCAGAATGGAACCACGCCACTTGTAACTTATAGCAGCCTGATCTATTTGAGTCCATTGATAGCTAGCTACAGCAAGACGCCAAGTGGCACTTCGTCGCCCACTGTGCCTAAACTCGGTGCTACTAAGAAACAGCTGATGGTCCGCGCATAGTTGCAACATACGCTCGCCGTTGTCCGTCCTTTCGGAGTTACGCCTATATTTACTACCTAGCTGAGCTTCTGAAGTGTCCAGGCGGTCTGCTTGTGCATTGATATCCCCTGCAAGAACAATGCGGTCTGAACTGATAGCGCTGTGGAACATCGTGTTCAGTTCGTGGTAGAATGTGCCCTTGGCAGCATCAGAACTGCAACCGGTGGGTGGGTAAGCGGAAACCACAAACAATCAGTGTCTTGTACTACTTCGTGAATCAATTCTAGATACTGTCAAACGGGCTGCACACGGCTGTTCTCCGGCATCCAATCAACCAACGGTGATTCAGCCTTCGAGCTGAGAACGATGCCTGTCCCAGCTTGACCAATGATTGCCACATCAGGGTCTCCGGATGCGTGCAACCAATAGCGAAAACACAATCCGGGCGCCGTTAATTCCATGACACACAACACATCACTACCCAGTGTGTCCACTATGTGTACGTGTACAGCCTGTTACCTCTTAGCGTGCGAATGTTGAAGGCCGCCAGGTTATCGAAACTGTTGCCGATAGGTGTTCATTGAGTGGTGTAAAAAGGTAGCCGCAGCTGCTGTGACTCCAGTGGCATTACGATTGCCGTTATTTATTCTGGGAATTATAGAAGGAGGGTTAATAGTAGGGGTTGGAAAGGGAGTCAAAGCAACAGATGGACAAGAAAGCAGTGAGGCGCCAGCAGTAGCATGTTTTCGCTTATCCGCCCTGTTGTATGCAGTAGCTAAGGCGACCCTTGATAATTTACGCGACAGCCGATGCAGGATGTGGTTGAAATTTAAGGAATTAGTCTTGGTTTTACGTGGGCTGAGATAGTGTCAGGGTGCCCAGACTTAGACAGGAGAACGATTGGAGTTCTTAACCAAAGCCCTTGGACTAAAAGCCTGTCCGCAAGGCAGCGGGGAGGTGGCATTGATTTAGCTTTACAGAACTGGAAGCCATCCCATTTCAAACCCTCAACCTGGAGGACCAAGAGATTGAGTTTGTCTGACCTCTGACTATTGACCAGCCTGGTAGGATTAGCTCTCAAGTGGTCCTGGGACATCACTTAGTATAGCTCAGTGCATCGGAGAGGTTCACACACTGTCGCACCACGTTAACATCCATTCTCCTTACGACCTGGTAATCACCGGCTGACGATGTCACTTGTACCATCATTCTTTACACAATTTGTCCCATTTTATCGTGGGAATCTGATATGATTAGAAACCAGATCATTTCATCAATCCTGAGTTCAATACACTTTTCACCTAGCATTCAGAAATCGTCAAATCAAAACTACCCAGTCTTCCGTACCTCGCATACGCTGCGACCACAATGCTTTGTTTCCGTATCTCTGTTGCTAAGGTCGGTCCCATTATGCTTCCATTCCTTGATCTCCTAATAGAACGCATGAGTGACGGTTCGATACTCGGATCAGTTTACCGCAATCCAACATGAAAGGGACAGCATTTGAACTTCTACTGCTTTGTCTCTAAGCGGTACAAACAAGGTCTAAGGAAGACTGTTCATCAGGACTGACACACTGTAACAAGAGATGCGGCTGATAGCCGTCACCCTCGAAGGTAGTGGGTACCCACCGTCCTTCATCGCTCAGGTTGGTGTCGAGAAAGCGCCCACAGTATCAATGCTGAATGTAAACTTGGAACTGCCATTCAAAGGACACGACGTATGGCAGGTATTTCAGCGCCAATTGAAATCCGAAGTGGTGCGTGTATACTCTGCGGCTGATAACTGCGTCTACCCCTCCGAATGCGCAGCCAATGAAGCGAAATAAAATTTCATACGTAGAACTATCACCATCGATCGCCGCCACCTGCTGGCTGACAACCACTATGTAGACCCTTTGCTTGCTTTCCTTGCTATCTATGCTTCAAAGTACCCCCTAACTTTACGACATGCTGCGGCCGTGACAGTCAGACAACCTGGCCCAAATCTGTATGTGTAATAAGACGCGCTCGTGACCCTGGTTCTACCGTGGTATCGGGCCGGAAACTGATGACAAGATGACATGTATGTTTGTGTGTTCACTTTTGCCAATTTGCCATTTCAGCTGCCGGTGGCCGAGTTGTTTGCACGCCTGGCTTGCGATCATAAGATCACCGGTTCCAATCCGCGTAGGGGTAGGCGTCCTCGCGAGTTACTCAGCCCACGCGCGACTGGTGGTGGTCGCGCGGCAGCAAAGCGCTATTATGGCGTACAGCTGACACATTAGTATCTATTTATTTTATGATGTTATATATTTACTCGTCTGTAGTACGCACTTAAAACTATACAGAGAAAATTTTCCGGAATTAACTTTCGCGGTGCTCTTGTTTTAACATTTTTGCGAAAGGTTTCCTTGGGAACTAGTTGTTTCAATTGTTCTTAGTGCTTAGCACTGTCGACTTATCTCTCTCAATGAACAACTGCAGACTGTTTTTGATCTTTTACGGAACGATGGGGCTTTGTCCATCTGTTTTTCGCTTTAGTGAAATCGCCGGAGATTATCGATTCGCCCGTTAAATCAGATGATGCCGGATCCACCCACTCTAATCATCCTGATCCCATTGTCTCCGAACAGTCTTCTACTCTCAATGCGCTATCAGTACCTTCCCTGGCCTCAGAAACCATTCAAGGTGGCCCGTTGTTGCCGTCTTTCCCCGAATCTTCCAAACTGCCCACCACAAAGACGTCAGTTCTGAAGGATGCACCTTTGGCGCGTCAATCGATCTCGGCAGCCCAATCTGTAGATTTGGACGCCATCGATGATTTGGCTCATGTTTCGTGCGTGGTTCATTCCCCTTCAGGTGAGTAAGTCCAACTTTTGCCCCCATTAATCCATTTCATTTTGTTTACTCTTTCTTTCCAATGGCCAAGCACTTGGACACTGTTGAGGCAGTTTGATGTATATATATTCGTCTTATGATTCATGCAAGCCGATCTTACTAACCAGTTTGCATAACTGCTGGATAATGCTTAACTACTGATGGCGGTTTTCAGCCTTCTGGAAAACCAATTTTTCTATCACCCACAACAGCTTTACTTCGTTCGGTCCCTGTCGAGATTCCTTAGCTACCTGCATCTCGAGTCCTTTTTAACCTGTTGGAAATGTACTGTTCCCGTATTGCCTTGCACCATTTCTATACTCAAGCTTCTCGGGAACGATGTCCTATACAACCATACCTCCTAAACTGGGGTGTATTCTTTTAGCCAACCCGTGTGATTTTTTTCTTCCTTCTAATGAATCACTGGAATGGGGACCTGCTTCTCAGCCACCAGTACTACTTCTGTCACCTCGAGGTGGCTGAGGTAACAAAGTCAAGTATGCTCATTTCGCTCTCACAAATTGATGATGTAGCACAACCCTGATGGAACTCATGAGAGCTTCCCGTAGATCCTTAACATACTGTGATCTAGCGAACAATATTTTATCCTGTATTCCGGGATGACGCTGGTATCGATTGGTGCTCATTAGCCCGCAACTGTCGGAGCTAAGCATGGTTGGTCTTACAGGTCGACACACATAGTGTTCTACTCTTATCGCCTCCTTTTAGCGTTCCGTGTGGTCGTATTTCTTTGAACTTGCTAGACTTGTCATCACACTGGATCCTCTCACCTGCGGCTCACTGCTTTTAAAGAGTTACGAGATGTTACTTGGTGCCAATTATAGATACCCGATTTTTCCTATAGAATCTGTCGGATCACTCATATCAAATCATTTCATGTTGAACAAATCTTGGCTTCCAACTCTGGTGCATAATTTCGTTTGCTTAGGACATTCTGGTGGTTGGGTAGCGACGGACGATGATTGCTGTCACCCAGGGCTTTTTTTGTTTTAATCTGTTCAACTGCATATGGTCCGCCCAGTGCTTTCACACTTTAGACACCTACAGTTTTTGACAGTCTCTTAGTTTTACTACTGTTTATGCTTTTATTTCGCTGTATGCAATGGATCAGAAGCCTCCACTTGGCGCACGGATGCCGCCTGTTTTAATCCTTACCGGTCCTGTCGATTATGGAATCCTCCCCATAGCCTAAAGTATTGCCCGCTTGCGTTGTAATCCTGACATCGCCGATTCGGATCCGCGTAGGTGCGGGATACCTCGCGGTATACTCAGTCCACAGGCGACTGATAGTAGTCGCATGACTCCGAAGCGTCGGTATGGTTTGCCGGCTTCATGCTGATGCTTTCTCTCTCTCTCGTGGGACCGGTTAAGTTACGCGGATGTCATTGTCGTCTAAGTGCTTTTGCTTTCATTTTTTAGGCATTTAGTGTACATTTAATTAATCTCCGTATAACAAAACCGGGCATACAACTGGTGATTCCCTTCTCGCTTAATGAAATCCAAATTCTTTGTCATATCGAGGCCTTTTACGTCCCCAATATATAGTTCAAGTATACCAATAATATGTTTGCCCATTTCCAGCAGTCACTCCTTTTAATACTATACTTGCACTATCTCCCCCACTCTAGACCGTACCAAGCCACCTGCCGGCCAAATGTTAACTGATTCTACCAGCCAACCTTCCACTGGTCGCATCGGTCAACCGCTTTCTCTCAGTGATTCCTCCGATTCTGACGAGGCGCCGCCCCCCACTACAATAGAGACAAACGAATCATCCAAGATCGTTCCGGTCAAACTCACTTCTACAAGAAATGATGAGCGAATTCCGACTGCACCTAAAGTTACTGCTCGTGGCGCTCGTGCGTCGACCCGCATAAGTAGTAGTGAAGCATTTGCCACCCGTGTGTTGACTTGTCCGACTCCATACGCACCTAAGTCGGAGCCCAAGAAGAGCAAGGACGACAAATCTTGCACGGATGTTTCAAAAATGTTGCTATCATTCTTAACCCCAACCTATCCTCCCGAGGTTATCCAGTGGTTCGATTGTATCACTACGAACGAGCCCGAGGTCGTCATGGAGAAGATTACGGACTCAGCCCCTAGTGTCCTTCCTTCTCTGAGTAATGCGACTCCAGTCACTTCAAGCGCCGCGCAGTTTCCACCTGGCTCACCCACAGTAAGCCAAGTAACCATCGCTGTGCAAAACTCTTCTCCAAAATCGCCAGTCCGCCGTGGTTCTTCATCAGATCCGGCTGATTTGACTACTTTGTGCACCAATTTCTTACGTTCACGCGGAAAAGCACCTCCCTCTCGTGTAATTATGTTGAAACTTCAGGCTGAATCTCCAGCCACCTGTGTGAATCTAATCTGTTCCACTTTTCTTTCCGTGCTAACCAACACGAAACCTTCGGAGCGGCCGAAGCGCGAATCTCGTTTCACCGAAATTTGTTCTACCGCAAAGGACTCTTTTCCCATTCAGCAGATTTGCGACTGGTTACTGTCCCACGCCCAACAATTTGTTTCACCTCTTCAGATAGCCTCGTTCACCCGATGTACCTATCGTTTGATCTCTCTGGCGGATCGGGAAGACCGGTCCCTATTTTCATTTGCACGGGTTTACTTGGTGAAGTTATTACGCGTCCTCTTCAGCACTCCAAGTCCCTTGGACCATTTCGGTCTGCAGTCGCTTCCCTATGTTATCGATGCTTGTGTCTCTCACTTCCCCGTCATGTGGTCAAATGTCCTTCCTTTGAGTCGTTCCGGCCCTTCACAGCTTGATGCCGCTGCTATGAATTCGTTCCCTTTTGTTGTCACCACCATCCGGTCTCTTCTAGCTTGGCGAGAAGCCCACTGGCACCAAGAGCAGTGTACTTTGAGACTTGGTAAGAAATCCAATGAACTTCAGGGAGTTTTTTCTCGTCTTCGTGATGGCTGTTGGCTTCCCGAGGGAGCAAAAGACATACCAATGTCCACTGCATCCGCCATACTGGAGTTATCACGATGGAACCATCATCTGCGATGCATCACTTTACGATTGGTCGATGTTTGCTTGCAAGTGCAGCGTGAAGATGGCGATCCGCTGTGCCCTCTGACAGAAACTTCTTCAAACGCCATGGAAGCAGCTTATTCTCTCGTTCTTCTACTATCATCCATGGCTTTTGTTGTTGGCGATGAAGCTGTAGTCGCTAATCAGGAAGGTGCTACTGTTCAGTTACCGATCTCACCGTCATCTTCCGGAGGTACAACGCATCAACGGAAGCGTCGCCATCGCCAAAAACAACGACACCAGCGTTTGGGCCTTCTTGGTTGGTTACTGACTGGCCGTCTGCTTCCTTGGTTAGTCAAGAATTTGAGGTAAGCTCTGTAACCCTTTTGCGCATTTCTACTGCAGTCCTACTTGTGTCTGCGAGATTAATGACACAGATGGTGAAATTTTGTCTTCTGCTAGATCATAGACTCCATAGGCTGGTTATTGATTTGCTGATTGTTTTCAGATGCTTCTGCTTACAACTCTGACTGGTGTCCTCAGTTGCATCATACAATTTAGCTATCCGGCAGGGCCCTTTGTCCAAGCCACTTGCTTTCTCAACGCGTGCTTATCCCAGCCTCCGGATCTGCAATCAGCTTGGTTTGTGCCTCGAGGCGATCGGTATTGCGCAACGCCACTCCCAGTTCTTCGTCACTTGGAACTACGTGGTGCTTTCTCTTTCCTCAACTTCCATGCTTTAAGTAGTATTGACATATTGCCCACTGAGTAATCGCCGTTTTGCTTCACTGTAAGTTTTCATATTCTATCGCTGCTTCATTGCTCTCCTGCTCGTGACCTTAAGGGTCACAAGCCTGCCTTGTAATCTGAGGTCGCCGGTGCGTGCCTGCGTAGGTGACCTGGTGACCCTCACAGTATCCTCAACCAACACACCCGCTTGGTGATAGTTGCGCGTAATCAAAGCGTCGGGAATGCTTACTGGCGTGCTGCTGGTGCTTATGTTCTACTGACCATACTTTCACTGTAGCAATTGGCCTAAAGTACGGAACTCGGTCAAAAATATTCTTGTTGCTTTAGTAAGTTACCAAATCATCCTCATCCATAAGTATGATAGTTAATCCGCTATCTCCTCGGTGTTTTATCACTGTCAAGACTTGGTTCTAGCAATACGCAGGTTGGTGCGTAGCCCTTTGGGTAAGAAAGAAGACAAGCGTAGGTGTGTATGTGTGTATGGGACCAGTCCGAGTAGAACTAGCATCAGTTCACTGATCCCGAGGTAAAGACGGGAAATCACATCTGTTTCCTACCGGTGCAACGCTCCATATCCTAGGGTGAGTGATATCACTGTACTCTAAAGTTGCTTTCTGTTATCGGGGATATCATTCCCAACCATTATATATCTATGGCTTTAGCTGTCTCCCTCTGTTACTTAACGAATACTCACCACGTACCGACTGCATCTGTAACTTTCGGGGTGTTCGGTTTCCTAGCTGACGCAGTTCCATCCAAGTTATCTAAGAGTTCAAGGGCCGTTAGATTCAATAACTTTTAGTCAAATCAAAGATACGACGATTCCATTCATAAGCTGTGCACATCTTACGGTTATCTCCTATGAAACACGAACTAGAGGCTGTTACTTTTAAAAATCTTTCCATCCTTCCACTTCTCCTCGGTTTTCGGCCTCGCCACTTTCACCCCTAGTGCTACTAAGTAATACTAACCGTTTTCCTTCCTTTCAGTTCCCTTCGTTCTCAAAATACCCCCAATTCCCGACTACTGTTTGCGCGCTTGCTCGTTCTGTGCATTGATGTTGTCACCCTCGGAAGCCATTTATTCTGCCTGAACCCCCCGAACGAAAAAACTAACGAACTACACTCCACCGTGTTCCGTTGCGGACGTCGTCTTGTTCGTTTGTTAAGTGCTGCAACTGCCTATCTTTGCCCCGGTCTCCACTTCGTGTGTGCTGTTCGTCTCTCTGCATTTTCGCCTCAACATGCAATCAGTTTGGCCGTCCGGTCTACATGCGGCCATGACTCCCCTCGCCCCACTGAAATTTCCCTTCTTTGGTCATCCACCTCTCTTTCCTCTCTGCTTAAACAATCCCTGACCTTGGTTGCCGGTTTCCCACGGTTACCCCCAGAACTTTTGGATACATACAATAGAGTCTGTAAATCTTATCTTGCTCTCGAACAACGGTGAATCTCTGTATATATAGTCTTTTTTGTATTGAATACATACCTGTTTTTATAAGGTTTTCTCTATTTGTTCAGTTGCCTTACTGGCGTTTGTTGTGGCCACACATGATGCATCTGTTTGTTTGCGCAGGCGATCTGCATTTCCGTTTTCTTTTTTATTCGCCTACTGTCTCCCGAGAGCAAAGAACTCCTTTCACATCTAGTAACCTAGTCACGTCAGTCGTTACGGTTTTCTGTAGCTCTGTAGTCTTAGCCACTGGCTGGCAGCAGTCGAGTTGCGGGTTCGAACCCTATAAGAATCAGACGGAATACGGCACCGCTGACAATTACCCAAGATGAGGAAACGGCTGTGCAGTGCGGGAGTTTGATGGCTGTCTGACTGAGCGTAAAAGTGATGAATTTCTTCCTATATCGTTCAATTCTGCTTGCTACTCTTTTACTACCAGTACGCAGACCAAGTTACTTGTATTGTCAAAAGTTAATTGGCGGCTTAACTTTGCTAAGTTCGTCTCTTGATGAGGGGGATGCCCTGTCCAATGCACGGCAGTAACTTGTGAGTCATTGGACAGTGAAAGCCGCCATATCACATTTAGCAACTCAGTCACGACGGTCCTTTCCGTCCCCCATAGCTCATTGGTTCCAACCACAGACTGGTAACAGTCGAGTTGCCGGCGTACGCACTGCTGACGATTCCCGAAGGGCTGAAACAGCCGTACCGTGCTTTTACAGGTGTGATGGCTGTCTTATTTAGTCTAGATTTGACGAATTTCTACTCATAACATACCCTTCTGTTTGGCTTCATATTCTTAGGACATTGTCGACTCCTTTTTCGGCTAAATCTAATTTGCTTGGCCCTTTGTCCCGTCTCATTCCTTGTTACGCGCTTGTGATTTACGGTTTGTTCTCCATCGTCTGACAAGAGTACGTTGTCCATCTGGAGGGATTCCTTTAAATTAATTCCTGTTGTAATTCTGACACTGCTGTATAAAATTTATTTTTCTCCACAGTATGCAACGTTGCCACGCTTTCAAGTCATTATCGGCTGCTAGCAGAAAGAACAATGCGTCTACCTTGCTTTCCAAAGGTCATCGATTTGAATCTGCGTAGATGCTGGCGGCGTCGCAGTATTCGCAACCCAAGCGCGCGCGACTGGTGGTTATCGCCTGGTAGCGAAGCGTCGGTGCGGCTTACTGCAGCTGCCATTCTTTCTTCATTTTCATACACTTCTACAGCGTTGCTTTTTCCACTGTGGATACCAGTGGAGCAACTTTGCTCGGGCTGTACACCGTGGCGTACCTCTACTTCCTACGCGTAATAACCAGTACTTGACTACTTTGGCTCATGTTCAGCTTCCAGCCTTCCTCTTCATCTATGTTATTAAAAATAGCGGGTGGCTGAGGTTAGTGGGAAGCAGGCATGGAGGCGTCATCAGTAATAATTTCACTAGTCCTCACTTTGTGTTATGGATATAGCGAACTGTGTATTCATAACCGAATATGGGGATTCCTCTAGTCCTTGGCAAAATCAAGCTGTGCAGCCTATTCTCATAAGTCGTGAAATATCTTATAAATCGGTCAACTCATATTTTCGTATTGGCTCAGCTAGAGGACGAGGTTGGTCCGATTCCCACTGGGCAGGTATCGCGAGGAGGTTTTGCGATTTAAACCCATTTTATAAACATGATCGAGCCACTTATCCGTCCGAAATCTACTGTCAACAACCCATTGGAACCCAGAACTCCCTTTCTGTTTAGAGCAACTGAGCCGTTGTTTACATTATACAAAGCTGAACAAGCTTCATAAACTTCCTTTGGTACTCTCTGAGTCCGTGTCCGGGTGCTTGCTCGCGGTTTCTGTGTGCGAGAATGCTTTGTGTTTTGCTTCGATAACAATATAACGGCTTTGTGGCTCTTCCGGTTCCCTTATATTTTCTTTGTCTGTTTTCACACTACTCATGAGTACGCTGCTGTATTTGCGCCACTTGGATTTCACCGCAGCGGCTACTTGTTCCGATGGGGGGAGGGGGGCCGGAGCACCGCATTTCGATCACCTTTACCGTATGGGTCAGTTACTTGTCCACATCATATGGTTGGCGGCATCCGGTTTCAGATTTATCTGTCACTGTGGCCAGCGACAGGGCGTCTGCGGCTACAGAGAGACCATGGGTGGCTTGCGCTGCACCACCCACAACTCTAACCACACCCAATATCCAGTGTAAACCCGAAGGAATAAGACCGGGAGGCATGTGGATAAGAGCCATGTTTCATCAACAGGGCCTTTAACATTCACAGCAGCAGCATTCCTGTCTACCTAGGTAGGGACTCATGTGTACCTGACGTGCACAAGGCGGTGGCTGGGCCGTAGTCCGCTGCACACTGGATGGAACCGTTATATGAACCTAGCACGGCCACGAGGACTGTGCATCCCCTTTCCTCCCCAGCAACGATTCACAGTCTCCTGGAACCAGCAATCGAGTTGGAGGGTGTTAGACTCGTACGCACCTTGTCAACGTACACATCAAGCGCAGTCAGACCGTGTATATCAATCAACCAACAGAATTTGTGGGAAAGCAAACACGCAAAATTGGCACAGAATATGCAGCTAAAGAATGGAACTGAACAAATCAAATAAAGTAGAATAACTTTTATCCAGATTAAAAAGATATGGTTTAATTGTACGTTGATGTAGCCGAACTGCGGTGAAGAAGCATCATGTATTCAACGTCGACCACAACAACATCCACGCCTCCAATAGGCAGTCAGATACTTCACTCGTATCAATTGTGTTTTATGCAATGCATCACATGGGCTCAGCTTGGGGTGGGGTCGGACCAACTATTCGGCCCCACACAGCATAATTGTCAGCGCTTTCACCGAGAAAGCCAGTCAACGGACATACAAAGGACATGGCCTAGCCATCCTAAGCGGTTAAGATTCAGCAACTAATGGAGTGAGGCACCAGAAGGCTTCATGCCACAAAACCAATTAGCAGATCTCAGCGTTGCTCACTCAATGTTCCTATCAACCGTCAGCAATACTTCGCAAGCACCGGTGGTCAAACAGAACCAAGCGTTTAATATCTTAGCCGCGGACTGGCCAGGTCTCTGATCTGGAAAGGCTAATGCAAGCATCGGTAGTTAGACACGGCTGTGTCTAATGTCTTAACTACGAACTGATTAGGTGTCGGATCCATACAGCGGCACCGATATGATATCATCGTCGCACACCCTAACTTTCACTGACAGTCTGGTATCCCGCAGTCTCTGGAAAACGCGAAATAACTTCTCAGTGATGTGGCCACCAGAGTTGACACGACCACCGAGGTAAACGAACCGATCCATCTTTTCCATAAGCTTTTCGCTAAGAGCAAGGACCGATGACTGACCGGTCTAATACTGCAACAATACTTTGTACTTTAAACGTGCAAAGCACATGTCTGGAACTGTAGCTTTATGCACCAGATTACTAAGTATCATATGCGTATACACTTCGTCAAACCGAAGGAGTGGTTCTGTCCTCATCTTCAACGTTAGCCATTTGGGCTCCTTACAGGATGTCTACCCTGGAAATGTCCAAGGCAGAGTCATTTGTGATCAGTTAAAACAAAAGTTGAAGAGGAAACGTGTCATAGGACAGTGTTAGGTTATCGCGCTTATAGTGGGGAACTTTGGATGTGGCTTCCCGTAGACTTTTGATCGGTCTCGTACTATTTCTTGATACTCTGGCCGCCCTTTGACGAAACCATGGACATTGTTGTGTTTTACTTTCTTTTCCTATTTTTGTACCTTCCTTTGAACCCCATGGTTTTTGATGACATCATGTCTATTCGTAGACCTTTGCATATATATATATATATATATATATATATATATATATATATATATATATATATATATATATATACTCTGGCCGTCCACACACAATGGTCAGTCGCGCAGTATCTGCTACATCAACTTCGGTGGATTAGGTAAGTGCGCCACTTCTCAAACCTTTGTATTCTTTTTTCCCCTCTTTTCCCTCCATATCGTCACATTTCAAGATCACTTTTCAGTTTCCAATTTTTGACGCTTTCCTTCGTCGAACTTCAGCTCATCCGCGGTCGTAGAGGATTGCTCCTGTCCCCTCACCCAGTCCATATTTAACTAAACAGGATGCCTCAGTTCCTGTGCTTCTATTCGCTACTAGTTTGGAGATATTGTTGTGTGCCTGGTTCTCCCAGCTCTATTCACGGGTCTCAGGCAAAGTACAACCGTGGTTTTGAAAACTCACCTTCCCGCTCGATCGATCGCTTGATCGACCACACTGCGACAGGTGATTCCATTAGCCCCAGCTGTCAGCCCCATCACATCTTTTCCTTTTTCTTTTCTTCGCTGTTTTGGTGTTGCAGGTTCCTTAAACTCTTCCACTGTAGCACAGCTTTCGAACCTGGGCTGCGACCTTAGTTGGCTTATGCTGCTACTTCTTCTTCTCATCCGAGTGCACATCATGTTCACCACACCGCTTTTACAGCCACAACCGACAGGTTCCCTTTCTTTTCCGACCCACAGCTGCTCTTCTCTTCCGACGCTGTTCAGTTTTGTGTATCTGTTTAGAACACACTTCGACTACCAGCCAACTGATAAAGCCAGCTGTTCTGAATGCGTATCGAAGTACGCTGACATGCGAGTTGAGCAAGCGCTCACAGGCGACAATTGATGGTCACTGGTCACATGTTCGCCAGACCTTACTAGCAGCAGGCAAATCCTCATGTGGTATGTCTAATAGACAACATGGACATTGGGTCTCTTCTCGGTCTCTGGAACTTATCGACGCTCGCCGGCATATTCCGGCTGGAAGCGAGCACAATGAAACTCGCAAAGAGCTCCGGGCAAAACTCCGTGCTAGCCTGAAGAGAGACCGCGAATCTTGGTGGTCTCATCGTGCGTCAGAGATGGAAGTGGCCGCTGCCCTTGGCAACCATCGTAAGTTATTCCGTCTGATACGGGAAACGGGCAGCAGGAGA